TGCCAGGATAGTAAAGTATATGCAAATTTAATGATGAATTATCAACTGGAGAAAGCATGGAAATTGCATTTAAACAAGTTTATGATAATAATGTTCAAAATCACATCTTATGGTACATGTTTTGTTTTTTCAAAAATTGAATAAAACAATTAAAGTCCTGAGATATAAATTGTTCTTGAGTCATTATTGAAAAATGGTGGGACACATTTGTAACTGGAATAATACAGCAAAAGAGTCTTGATTGAATTAATTTTACAGCGGGAACATATATGTAAAAAAAGAAAAAGTCTGGCCAACTTGCTTCCAGCAGGCTTATCTGCTAAGCCCTTATTAAGCCGCTCTTTTAATTCAGGTCTCAAACTGAGAACAAAATAATGAACTGGAAACTAAAATACTTGTAGTACATGGCGTTTAAACATACTTGTTCATGACTACAGTAGAACCTCGGCGGTGAACTCGAACTCTAAAGGGAAACGAAAAATAGTTCGATTTTAAGTGGGGAATTCGAGTTATCGGGGTAAATTTCAGTGAAATCTTGATCAAGAGAAAGCAAATTTAGTTCGACTTAGCGGGGAATTCGAGTTATCCGAGTTCTAGTTATTGAGGTTCTACTGTATTATGTATCGGTCAAATCGAAGCTTCAACATGCCCCCCCCGGGCATTTGACACCTTTGCCGTCTCGGGGAGGAGGGAATTTGATCATCAAAGTCTTCCAGGGGGTGGGGAATTTGATCCAAGGCTTTGGGGTGGGGAATTTGAACTCCACCCTCGATTTCATGTAAAATCTTTGGCGTGGCGAGCTATCATGGGGGACGCGGTGTTAGAGGATTTTCGTGGAAAAGATTGTGCCTTTGTGGCCAGTTGGTTACGAGGAAAGGGCTTAAACAAGCTTTGTGCCGTATTTGAAGTATTTAAATTTTAAAATTTTTAATATTGGATTCAGGCTTTGAATGTATGAATGTATTTTATTGTTGTGTTTACAATGAAGTACAATACCTATACCGGCGATTCAGTACAACAACATAAAATAAAATAAAATAAAATAAAACGGTCAACTACTTTGACCTACTGCAGGTATGTTAATTAATAAGGTGAGCGATGATGTATGTCAGTGAAATGGTCATGATGTAGTAATCTCAATAGGTGGGATCTTTTTTTTATAGAACGCTTTGTATGTTGCATGACGAAGGAAAGCTGAGCATTCAGTGACCTTGTAGCAGTGATTCCGTCGCTTTGCACGAGACTTTTGTTCGTAGTAAATACGCTAGCAGTGTTGCTCAGTTTTTGTTATATTTATAAAGATTTTGTTCGACAACTGAAGGCGTTTCCGCCGTCCTTCTGTCATTTTTGTGCCCGTGAAATGTCCCCGGGGTTGGGGCATTTGATCACCTGAATGGACCCTAGTGTGGTAGTCTGCTACACAGCCGTTTTTAGTGTCGTCACGCAATGCTCCTCCCCACAAACGTGGGGAGGAGCGTTGCGTGACGACACTAAAAACGGCTGTGTAGCAGACTACTAGTGTGGGGCATTTGAACGGCATTTTGGCCCGGGTAGGGGGGAATTTGAACAATAATTTTCCCAAAAGTCAAATGCCCGGGGGGTTGCCCGGGGGGGGCATGTTGAAGCTTCGATTTGACCGATACATTAAATCCGCCAGAATCTGATCGAGTATTAGCTTATTCACGTAGAATTCCATCAACCATTTGCAACAACGACTACAGTTATGTCTCCAGTAAACAAAAAGGAACCAATAAATGGTTTTCCATGCCATCTTGAAGTTTCGTGTTCAGATATCGGAACGATCTATAATTTCACTTTGATCTCCAGCTTCATTATTTGAGTACTTGGTTACCATCAGAAGACACATTACGAAGCAGCAACGTACCTTTACCTTTCACAATCCAGCTGACTTATCGTTCTCGGACATGACTGGAAGCACGTTTCATGTGTCAACAACAAAATAAATGAACAATCCGCGTTTAAAATAACGTCAATTTCGGATGCAAAATACTTGTGCTCTTGCTAATGAAAGTCCGCGTGAATTTGAACTCACCAAACGGAACTTCATTTCACACTTTTCCATTGGTTCAAAAGGCGCACGTGACGACGCAATTCACTTAGTGTGGAGACTGGTAACCAGTATAGCTCAAACATGGCGGATGATTTTACTCGATGATGAGCAAGTTGAAAAAAGCGGTCGTTTTCAGAGCTAAATAAAATATTCCAACGCTTTTGAGGTATAAGCAGCGAGAGGAAAGTTTCGTATTGTTTTTTCAAGAAGCGATGACCTTTTATTAGGCAAAGCCGCGATGAAAAACGTGTTGTGGACATGTTTGGAAAGCTCATGCCAGGTACGAGAAGTGGCACTTTGAATAAGCTTTCAGTATCGTACGCGTGCTTATTGTTGATAATTTTTTTTTAAAGATTTAAGTCGCAATAAATGTTGTATATAGATGCTGGTTAATGTCAAGAAATCCTTGTTGTTATAGGCAATTAAAGAAATGATTATTAAATTTTTTTATGCTTTTTATTACCTTTGAACACTTATCGTTTTTCCTAAAAATTAAGCCAGTGTTTCCAAGTTAATAATGACTTGGAATTATTGAGAATTCCTAGGAATTCCCACAAATTCTCACTGGCGTTTTAGCAATTCCCAATAATTCCCATAAGTTTCAAAGACAGTTTCCTTCAAACTTGGAATTATTGGGAATTCTTAGGAATTCCCAAAAATTCCCACTGGTGTTTTAACCCATTCCCAAGTATTCCCAAATATTCCAAGGTTTTTTATCTTTGCTCATTTGCATGTCTTGGAATAAATTGGAATTCCTAGGAATTCCCAGAACTCTGGGAATTCATTTCGCAAGGGGTTTTAAATGTTAATAGTAATGTGTTGATGCGATATTGATATTGATGTTTAAAAAATTGTTTTTAGTTGTTCATTATTGATGAGAAACTGTCTTTGATTTTCTTTCCACTAGATGTTTAATGGCACTGAAGTGGTGTCACTGTCTTCTGGTGGATATAGTAAAAAATTTGCGCTGAAAGTGTTTTCGACACTTTTTACAGTAGAGGAAATGGCTGATGGCATCGTTGAGCCCAGGCGTACCAACTCAAGTGGCAAGGCTACTCTTGACCAAGAGAGAGTAGACCTTTTGAAAAGTAAGGCTCATGGGAAAAGTAAGGCTCATGGGAATAAAACAAAATTAGAACTTATTATATAATTCATCCCGAGTGAATCTTGCTTTTTCTTAATTGCGATTCCCCTAAAAGTCTTGGCCACAAGTCCAGTCTAATTGTTGGATTATGCTTTCTGGCTTTTTGGTCCCCTCCCCCTTCAATAATGATATATTCACAATGTATGTGTCAACTAACATTGAATGGAAGAATGTAGAGCCATGCTTGTGCCTTAATACAATGTAGACTTGTCTCTTCTAGAAGTATTTCAAGGAATCATGATGATTGCAGCTATGAGTTTTAAATGGATACATTACATGAAGTTGGTATACAGTGTAGTTATGTCTGCAATCAAGTTTTTTTATTTAAGAGAACCCCTCCCCCCTTCCCTGGTTTTAGGGTTTGGTCGCTGAAACAAAAGAGAATTATGCAAAGGTAATAATATTGATTGTTTTTTGGCTTTGCAGGTGCCATCAGAGAAAAATATGGAGAAAATTTATTAAATAAAAAGTGGAAAGTCATGAGGTAATCTCTTAACCAAAAATGCCTTGATATAAAAAATTTAAAAAAAAGGCCAAAAGCAGAGTAAAAATTGAATTGACAACAGTGGAACCCTGGGTAACTCAAACTCAGATATAAACACAAATTGTAAGTTCTGTTTCTGCTGAATTTCAACCCACTTTTCAGTCATTTTCACTTTGTTAACTTAAATTCCCTGAAAACTTACCTTAAATTTTGCTTCCCTTACCCAGCGTTATAACTAGCTCTTGCCATTTGACACAACCTATGCCATCCCATTAGGTCGTCTTGTTGTGCAAAACACCTGAAACTTACTGAAAGCAATTTGATTTTAATTAGTTTGATGAACAGATCATATGGTTAACAATCATTTTCTGATATTATGAGTCATAACCTGGTCAGGTACCGGTATAGTAGTTTCTTATGAGATAACTTTACTTTGAATTGCACTGTACACTGATGTGCTAGAAAAGGAAACCATCAGTAACTATTAACATGGCATATTGGCTATTCAACCGACGTCAATAACTTGAACATCCACTTCCAGATGTTTTTTGTATTTTCTTACAGAGTTTAAGTTTCTTGGGTTCTACTGTAGATTTTAAGAGAACAGGGATAGGAAAATGACATTATAAGGAATGTTTCATGGATATATTAGAAACTATTAGAAATTGGTTTGAATAGTACAGTCAAGTTATTGTTAATTTTATGTTCTTTCTCTTAGATTTATTAGCTATATAATTGCCAACTTTGCAATGATTAGAGTCCAATTTATAAAAAGGCATGGTAATACATAGTAATTATTCACAATCTTCTTTCATAACATTTATAAACTGACAAAACTTATGATGTTTTGTTTTTTCTCTTCTTTTCCTTGAGTTTTGTGGAGGAAATACATGTAGATGGACAAATCAAATGAATAGGCCACTTGCACTAAGGTGTCACGTGACCAATGCTTCCTTTAAACAATGAGTTGGAATCTTGCTGTTGCCAAAAATTGACAGAGCATGTAAAAATTATGGTACACCTGAAATTTGAGAGGAAGCGCATTCAAGGTAGATATTTATGGCACTCTGATTTTTCAACAAAGTAGTATGATTTGTATTGGCCGCCATGTTGGAGGGCATACTCTTGCCCTCCAACATGGCAGCCAAAACTACTTTTACAAGAATCTTAATAAGATACTTGTTAAGATCTTGGTAAGAATCTTAATAAGAATCTTGTTAAGATCTTAATAAGATTTCCACCTGGGTAAGCTAAAGTACGTTTTTTGTATATTATTTTCACAGCCACTTTCACTGGAAGAAATGATAGCAAGAAGAGAGGGAGAAAAGAAAGCTCAAGAAAAGGTGTGGTACTGTATATAGAACTGAAATATAACTATACCAAAAGTATGGAACGTGAGCAACAAAGATTGAAGGCTAAAACACTTTTGCTGTCCTGTGCTTTGAGTAAGTCTTACTATACAGATGTTCAAAACATGCATGCATGATCAGATTACGAGTGATCGAAGGTCCAAACACCCATGATCAAATTGTGTCATGTGCATTCCATTCATTCTTAGTGGAAGTCCAAGTGAATGCTGGCTACATACATGTACAGTACATGCTAATTAGCATGCATAATAACAACCTGGGCCGGGTTGTTCGAAGTTGGGTTAAGATAACCTACAGTTAGTGCGAAATTTGGACTCAGATATGAGGGCTTAAAAAGCAAATTCAGTTTAATTCTCTTTGCCTACAGTTTGATGATTGGATACTCTAAAAAGAATAGAGAAAATTATCCGAGAGAGTTCTTTTGATAACAAGATAAGGAAACCCGGGTTAAAATTTAACCCCGGGTTAGCGCTAACCGGCATTCGAACAACTGGGCTCTGGAGATTAGGATTGTTGCCCACAATGATACAGAACAGTGGAACGCCGTCTCTGTGACCTCTACGGGACCATGATCGATTCAGGTCATAATAATGAGCTGGACCTTTTATCAACTGTAGGTTTTATAATAAAGTTCAGATATAATACGCACTGGTTGTAACATGAGTGTGGGCCGACTTTACCCTTCAAGCCCCAATATCCACATACAAATTCTCAAAACTGATCTCCATACATCTCCTTTAAAGTTATTAGTTGAGAGAATTTGATTATATAAAGATCATGGAATTTTCTCTATGATGATCATTTTATTAATTCTCATAACTTTATCTCTTGACAGTGTATGGATATTGTTAGGAGAAAATTGTTGTTGGTCACTATTGGGACTTAAAGGGTTAATCATGAAGCTCAATGATCTGACATTAATTTTGTTGACACAACCTTTTACTTCACCAGCCAGGGTAGTAAATAAAAACCAAGTGAACTAACTCAATATTGATTTTGCTCTTGTGCTATTTTGTTTTGTTTGTTTGTTTGTTTTTAGAATAAAATATATTTTTTGTTGTCTTTAGCCAACTTTTTTAACAAAGGAACAGAGAGCAATGGAAGAATTGAAAAGACGACAACAGCAAGTTGAGGAACAGAAAAAAAAGACTGAGGTAAGAGATGCATGTTTTGTCCCTTCTTGTGACTTCCTTACATGTGAATTTCTTAAATTTATTTTGCACCAGGCTTTGGTTGTTTATGGAGATGGTGCTCATTCAATGGATAGATAGTGAGAAATTACATTCACAGCAAATAGTGAATCCAATTTTATTTGTACGTGTACCTTGTGCTTAAGTCTTATCTTCACTAAAAAGCTTACTGTTTATCATATCTACTTAATTATGAGAAATGTCATGCCAGTTCCATCCCTAAGAATATAACATAACTGTTTTGGATGGTTCCTGTTTATTATAGCTTATTTCTTAATTTGAGCAGAAAAATTAAAAATTTCATACCATCTACATTGTTCTCTCAGATGGTTCCTTTTGAGCTTTGCCTAAATGGCAAGCTGGGAGGCAGATAAAATAATTAGTTATTTTCTTTCTAAGTTATTATTATGTTTTTCACCTTCCACTTGATCAATCAGAACAAACAATACTACAGTGGAACCCCACCTTACGGCCACCTCGGTAATATGGTCACCTCATTATTATGACCACTTTTTTTGGCTGCCCGGCAAAAATGACCATGCATTTTCTTGTAAAGAAATCCTCGTTAATATGGACACCTCATTATTAATGCCATTTTTTTTGGCCCATCGGTGACCGTATTAGCGGGCTTCCATCGTACCAACCAGTTTGGATAACTTTCGAAAACTGAAAAATTTTTTGTGGCTTTTCATTTCAAAACAAACAGGAGGAGCGTCAAATGAGAGAGAAGTTTTTAAGAGAGGCACAATATTCAAGAGGTAAGTATTAGAAAAATCTTTTTAATTAAGAGAACCCGAATCATTTCACACTGTTTTAATGCTTTAAATATCACAGCACAGAAAAGTACACATAATTATTAATGAAAACAAAGATGAAAAGAAAAAGACAGATTATTTTTACGTAACTACATATACAACGAATGAAACTGACAGTAACATGAAATAACTGAGGTTTAATTTAGGCCTGACATTGCTCAACTTTCATAGTTTCTCTAGGAAAGGAAAAGAGGAACAGGTGGATGGTTTTACTTTAAGGGGGACTTACACATGTGTAGCTAACAATGCAATTAGCGAGTTAATAGGGTAACAGGCGCAAGCCAACAAAGTTAAATAAGGAAATTTTCCATTTGTTTCAAATAATTACAGCAATGTGCTACTTGTCATCTCAATGATGGAATTTAACGTACCCTTAAGGAGGGACATGCATGAAAACGCTCCAGCTAATTAGTGGGAGTAAGTAATTACCTGATATCTCCCAAGAAGAAGAATGAGGCGATGGCTTTACTTCTTAGTACAGTTTGCTGTATTATTATCTTGTTTAAAGTAGCTGTGTCACGAAATTCAGCCAAATTAGGAAATTACAAAATGCCTGTTAAATTAAGAGAAACATAAAAATAACCGCTTAAAACTTTAAAGGAAGGTTCAAATAACATAACAGAAACAACAGATGCCACAGATGGGCAAAACTGAAGAAGACTGAAATGGATTGAAATTAGGGTTTTTGAAAACTGTTCAGCCTAACAGTTTTTCAAAGTTGATCCCTGCTGCTTGCAACTTCAAAAATAATGCTCAGGAGACATACAGGCGTATTTGTTTGTCTCGGATCTCTAATTTTGTCATTTACCTGTAATTTCTTTACTTACTTTAAAATACAGCGATTGAGGGCAAGTAATTGGCAAAAGTAAACAAAATTTAATTATTTAGATAAACTTTAATATATATATATTTTTTTCATTTTCTAAAGAGGAGGACGTGGAAAGGGAAAGAAGAGAAAAGAACCAAACTAAAGAAGAGGTAGTGTCTTGCCTGCTAATTAAGCTAGGGAAGGGTGGATCATGATTTTTTTTTCCATGGTGGTCCAAAGTCGACGTCACCATCAAAACTATTTTACAGCTAATTATTTCCACCCTTCATGATAGTTATTTTCTAGTAAACTTCAACTACTTAGATCCTTAAATTTGATCCTTTACTGGTAATAATTAATTATTTTTAGTTTAAAAGCTGTTAGTTATTCAATTACATTTTTTTCTTGTCTGAGGGTTGAATTTAAGGGTGTTTTGGATCCCATGATCTTATCCTGGTTCAGTCACTACAAGGGTCTAGTTAATGAACATTAATTGGGGGGAAGGACATGTGATATTAATTTACTCATTAGTGCACAGTTAATGGTGAGTGATTATTTGCAAAAGTGAAGAATAATTCTTACTTATTTATTTACTCTGTTCAAAAACTCTTTTTTTAGGCTGAGAGTGAAAAAGAAAGGTTGCGAAAGGTACTAGGATTATTATAGATTTTACCAAAAACTCAGGAGGGGTTATGTAAAATTATAAATTACAGCTATTGCAAAAGATTTTACAGACGATTGTATTTACACAAGAATATAAAGCAAGCCGCAATGAAACAAAATACAATGGTAGCTTAGATTAACATTTTGGCCTGCAAATAAAGAAAAAAAATCTCATAACAATAGCACATAAATTTAAGAATCCCAACCGTTTGGACTCAAGTCAGTTGACTATCTTCAAGAAGGCATGACTGAGGAGTTGAACTTGCCAATGTCGTGAACAACTGTTCCTAGTGGTGAGAGCGTGATTTGAACCTGATGCAGTGTTCTCACCAGGATTTTGCCTTGGGGAGTCCCAGGGCCCCCTCTTCTGAGAAATGGGGGCCCTGTAAGAACATTAGGGGGACAAAGTTACAAAAAACACGCGGTACGAAGAACCTGAGCCCGCACTCCAGATTGTCTGTTACATGAAGTACCTACCTGATCCAATATGGCGGAAGAGGTGTTTACGATTCGGAGGAGGAGTTTACGATGTAGTGGGACGTGCGTGGGACCAATGAAAGTAAAGGCAACAAAATTAAAGACTTTGACTCATTTGATATCATGTTTTTTTATTTATTCAGACAAACAGAATGCTTGGCAAGATTTCCGTATAACCCCATACATTAATTATGCATACATTCATTGTTTAAAGAAAACAAAAGACAGAACAATACTAAGCCTTTGGGATTTCAGCTATTGTTTTACAAATTTTTAATTTTTTTTCTAAGTCTTTTTTGAAACGCACTAATTTTGGCGCTTTTTGCACTAAAATAAGAACTTTTTGGAACAACTTTCGGACTATTTTCGCTTTCCGAAACCTAACTTTTATAATGACCCCAAAGATAGTGATAATCAATGTAATTAGTAGCGTTGAGTAAACTATCCATCGATCGTAACACAGGGTTTAATAAACAACTAAAGTAAAATAAAAGTCTACCTTATTCGTCAGAGTTGCCTTTTTTCCTGAACTATATTTTCGAGTTTCTACCGCCTCCTCCTACGTCTGATCTGTCTGTTTTATTTAGCCCTTTATGCGTCGTTCCCAATGTCATTATAAAGTTCGACGATATGCTTTACTATGCTTCCAAAGAGAACTTCACCGTAATGCCTACGCCACATATTTAAAACTCCTGCCAGTAGTTGCTTTGAATGTTCCTGTCAGGGCAAACCATGCTTTACCCCTCCATCTATCTGCGATGCACTGCGTGTCGGCACCTGTGTCAGCTGGGTGTATTTTACGAAGCTTGGGCTGTTCCTAGCCCTACTCTTGTAGATATTCATAAGACCCATACTCGTCGCTCATCACGTCTGTACACCTCCAAAATTTGAGCACAAATGATGGCCAAAATGAGTCTCATTATTCCTGTTCTTCTTGGACAACGGCCGGGGCATTTTTGAAAAACGCCGAATGACCCTGAAGTTTAGTTATGAGGGTTAGGAAACTGAGTGAATCAGCTTTCATTTAAGTCCTCTGCCAAAGCTCTTGCACATTTAACAGAAGTTGTGAGGGCAGCTTATGTTTTCCTTACACCACTCTATGTACCGGTCGCGGTCATGATCCACCAGTATTCTGGACAGCTTTTTAAAAATTTAGTTGAGCCATACTAAACATGAAAGTTGACCAATTAAGTCTCTGACAAGTGTAATACAAGAGAGGAGTGCTTGAGAAGCCTGTGCGTGCTTGTTATTGCCTGAAGAGATGCATGTTTTCGTGGATATGTTACAAGCAAAAGCGTGAATAATTTACATGAATACACATTTCAGTTCTTTTGTTATGTATATTTGAACTTGAGCACGCAAAAAGATATCAATTTTTTGACCAGGGAATCTCAACAAATCGTCGTGGTCTAGTGGTATGGCAGAGAGATAGGTACGCCAGAGCTACAGTGAAGCGTTGGTTCAAATCTCGCCGACTACCGAAAAAAAAAAGGAAAAAGGAAACCGTGGGGCACTGGAGAGAGTGGTAGGTGAATGAGAGGGGAAAAAAGAGAGAGAGACGGGTAGAAAAGGATGAAAAAAAGACAGAAATTGAAATCCTCTTTTATTAACGCAGTAAGTATTTATTACCGATGTATATATGCAGTACTCTGGGGAATTAACCATTGTCTTAGAAGACAATAAGGCGGATGCATAATTAATGACACAGAATGCATAATTAATGTATGGGGTTATACGGAAATTTTTCCGAATGCTTTAGTGTTAGGGTGACCATTAAAACTACTTAAGTCCGTTTGACTCGTAGCTTGCCCCTGCGCCCTAACGGGCGCATCTTCTTGGTTTTAATGCGCCATTTCAGTTTTTCTTGCGGGAATCCGGCAAGGCCGCGGCCTGGTGAGAACACTGCTGATGTGATCAAGTTTGAATCCAGCACCCCACACAACTTGGCCATTCTGACTCCTCCAAGTCTTAATCATTTTTTATTTAAGGGTTTAGGTGGTGTACTGTACAGTTTTTAGTAAACATGCACAGTGTAGTTCTCTTTATTCTTGTAGAAGAAAGAGCAAGATAAAGAGGTGCAAGCTATCAAGGTAATGTATCATCATCTAAATAAAATTTGTGTGTGAACAAGACAATGTTTATACATGTATGCCAGTAATAAAATTGTCTAAAGAATGTAAAATCTTTATCTAGTATACAAGTCATAAAAATAGTCTGTTGCAATTATTCAGATGGTATGGAATGGAAGAGTGTCAGTACATGATTTCTATGAAACAACTAGGATTTTCTGTGAGAAAGATGATTTTTCCGTCAGTGACACAGGTGACTCAGAAGAAAAAAATCCCAGTTTTCCAAAAGGCCGATTTGGACAGTGTGATTTTTGCCTATGACTATCGTGCAGGACTAGCATGCGTCATGACTTCACAACAGATCGTGTTGTGTAAATTAGACCCACTTCATTCGTACGGCACATTGGGGATGTCATAAGTGAAAATTGTGCGCATGTTGATGATCAAAAGGCGTGAAGTATGCTAGTCATGCACGATAGTTGTGAGCAAAAATTGTACTGTCTAAATCAGCCTAATAGGAGTTGAACTTATGACCTTGTGGTTACTAGTCCAGAGGCTCTACCACTGAGCTACAGGATACTCGTGGAAGCTGAGACCACTAGATTCATGAACCCAGGAGCAAATGTTAGGCATCAGGGCACAAGCTGGCATTGCTAGAGCACAGCCTTGGTTTTCAAGATAGTGTTGGAAGGCAAAAGGTCTTGTAAGTTCATAAAAAATATAATGTCTACTTAGAGAAACTTGGAAACTACCTACTATCCCTCCCCTAACCCAAAGGGAAAAATAGTAGTGTCATTGTTGGTTTAGTGGGGGAGGGGGGGGGAGGTGGGCAAATCTGAGAATTTTATGCTGATCTAAAAGGTACATGGACCAGTTTTTTGTTCAATTTTTTTAGGAGGGAGTATTTTGTATAGATTGTCTGTACAAATTAGTGGGAATTTTATGGCTATTTGTCTCCACAAAATGACTGTTTTTTCACTGTTCGATCCTGATGTGATTTATCAGTGATTTCTGTGCGAGTGTTACTAAGAATCTACCTTGGCAGAAATCATGCCTTAAATTGCATTAAATGTCACCTGCGTAAATGGGCCTTTAACAATGTTTATCTGTCCTGCTTCATTCCAGGAGCGATACCTAGGTGGAGCCAAAAAAAGAAAGAAGGTTCGTCGTCTTGCTGACAGAAAGTTTGTGTTTGACTGGGACACAGGGGAAGACACTGCAGTCGACTACAATCCACTGTAAGTAATCACATGACTGTACCAAGCTTTTTGGTGCAATCACCATTGACACATTTAGTTGTAACAAGCTTTTTTATTGATTTTTTTGGTGCAGTAGTTTTTATTTATTTTAATTAGTATTATTGAGACACATAACAAATTGGTATTACGCTGTTTGTTAAAAATACAAATGATTGTAAATTATTGAATGTAGATTTACCGTAGTTGACTCGACTGTATTGCTGTATTGTACCAATAATATTATCATGACTGCTCTTGATTCAAGTGCTTCAAAACAACACAGGCTCTTGTCACAGTCCGGAGGTACTTACCTAAGGGTGGTACTGTTAAAATTTTGGCTGTTTTAATAATGCAACTCTTGTTTGGACTAAGATTTCAATGTTGTCAGGTATATACAATTAGGAGATCAGGAACTGGACAGGTAGCAAGTTCTTTTCCTTCTATATTTTAAGAAATCAAATAGACCATAGAAATGACATCAAAATGTTCATAACTCAAGTGAACCACGAGCTGCAGGCCTTTGAAAGTAGCAGGGGGCATATTCTTAGTTGCGGGAGAAATCCCAAGCCCCTGGGCGTCACTGAGAGCCCTGATTCATGTCGGTTATTAAAACTGATTTCACATCTAAACATAGGTTGTTGTTAGAGCGACTTTCTCATGACCTTGAAATGAAAACGCGCGAACAAAACAGAAACAACAAACGAACGGAAATGGAGCGATTTGATTAGTTTATCGAACGGATACAAACGCGCGTGGCTTTTGGTTACTTAAGCGAACGCTCGGGTGAAAACACTTCATGCCCGAGAACTTTCTAGAAATCAATCGATACTTCGCTATGACGTCATTCTGCAACACGATTGGCCAATCGAACAATGTCTTCTCTGTATTAGGGTTTCCTTGACGGGAAAACGAAGAGGCCATGTTTTGATCTTTTCACCCATTGGCTGATAAAACAAATAACGAACACTTAAATTTGTACCGAAACCATTTTTCAAGGTCATACGAAAATCTCTCTAACAGCATCGAGAAGGCTTACAGAAGATATCCATCTACTTATATTAATGAAATAGACACCTTTCAAACAGATTTGGAGGCTTCTCGAGTCTCTAAAAGAAAAGTAAAAGTAAACAAGACTTTGTTCAAGTAACCAGCCCAGGGAGTTAAGTTCTGATATGCTTCTCGATCAAGAAACGTACATTCAGTCTGTGTAACTCTCTTTTTTACTTACAAGTACTTGTCTCGCTTAGCTATACAGAAAAGCATCAAATTCAGCTCTTTGAAAGAGGACATATTGGTGGAGTTGATATCAAGGTAAACATTCAAAATCAGCTGGGGTATCTAACCACAGTCGAAACCACGGAATTAGATTGTTCAGAGAAGTGTTCAAAGTTATGGATGAATAAGCAGGCAACAGATGCAGGGGCGAATCAAGGATTTTTCTTAGGAGCGGTTGCATCACTAAGGAATGGCGTAACTGACTGGTGACGTAAACAAATTTTAAAAGTGATACCAAGAAGAAGGCTTTTTCAGGCTTTTGACTAGGCAATAACATAATGTGAACTGCTGAGAATACATATCAAACGATACAGGAGAATTCAGACAAAACTACCATTTTTAGGGCGTTTAACATAAATTCTCCAACCTCGTCTCGTGTTTTACTTCAGCACCAATAAACCACCAATTTTTTTTTTGGCAAAATACCAGTTAAATTAGAAAGCCGCAGGTCATCTTAAGGGGGGAGGGGGTGCGCGAACCCCCTCACCCTCCCCCTAGATCCGCCCTTGAGGTGTTCATGTACACACTTCTTCATTGTCATTATCAGCATCCTTCGGCCTGAGCCGAGACTCCTCAAACTACTCCTTTCTACATCGATATTTTTTATATCAGCCATCACAATAGAGACCTCCAACCCCGGAAGGCGTCATTGTACTGTTTTCACCATAAAAGTTAGCACAGTTATTTTTATTGAAGAAGGTTCTAAAGTTCTCTCATGAGCGTCTTGATACTTACTTGTTTCCGTTCCCGCTAAAACTCGTGGTAGAATGACGACAGCTATCGTGTTTTCCCGCCAAACTAACGCTGGCCCACGCGCGAGCGTGAATTTTCTAGTGATTTATTTTTTCTTTGGCCTTAATATTAGGATTAAAGTGGTTAACCCCTCTACAACAGCCACTCCGGCCCTTAGCTGGCTGTCCTTGCAAGGCTCGGCTGTGCATTAGAATGTCAGTATGTAGTGAGGTTACAGGTTTTAAAGTAAAAATCCTTGGAAAATGTTTTTTTTTTTCTTCCCAGTGGCAAAAGAAGGAGACAGGAAAGTTTTATCAGGAAATGTTGGAGACAAGACGAACTGTTGAGGAAAAGACCCAAGAGGCGTAAGTATCTTATCTTGTCAATAATTAACAAAAAAACTACTAACACTGACGCGAATTGCATTTGAAATTAGTTCAATCCTAGAAGAGATAAAAATTGTCCCGAACGGGACAAATTATGTCTTATGTCCGCATTGCACTGTGATTAGTGTACGTTTCCCGTGCATTGTTGGAAAGCCTGGTTCCAGTGTACATGTATGTCAATCGAGGTTTCCATCGTTAGAAAACTTTGAGTCTGGAAAAAGAAAGTATTGTATTGTCTTAGAAAAAGTCCGGGAAAAGCCTCGAATTTTCCGCCATCCAAAACTCTGTTCGAACCATGCTCCAGTTGTGGATACTATTTCTGTTTCTCAAGGCTATCCGCTCAAGAGAGCGTCTTACGGCAAACGGTAAACGTCAGATGGAATTGGAATGAGAAGATAGAAACGGTCCAAAATCCTTCTTACTGATGAACCTCAGTGGCATAAAACTTGTAATATTAGAGAGCTGTAGATTTGAGGACGAGTGCAAATGTGAGATTTAACTTATAGGTTTTTTCGCGTGTTCTCAAACAAAAAAAGACAGCCCCGAAAGCTTTATTTTACTTTTTTTTTACCAAAAGGTTTAGTACAGTTATTTATACTGAAGGAAGTTAAGCCCTCTCCCGATAGCAAAATGCTAAAACTTTCTTACATTTGATAACTTGTTCCCGCCACTACGACTTCCTCGCTAAAACTCGTTGTTGTATGTCGACGGCTATCACGTTTTCCCGCCAAAATGACGCTGGTTCACGCTTGAGCAATACTCAGTATTGAGAAAATCTTGTACTCGTAGTCGTCCTCGTCAAAGAATCTAAGGGTGCGTTTCTTTACTAAAATCCAAATCGGGATTTTTAATCCGATCTCGGATTTTAGTGAAGAAACGCACCCTGAAGCTCTACATTTAAGTAGATATAAAAAACAATAAACGACAAGGAAAGGGGAAACTTGGTCACGTGGTACAAATTTCCGTTTGCCGTTTGCCGTAAACGTGACTCGTGGTTCCTTCTTTTTTAGGACGCGAATAAAGAAACAGCGTGATCAGGAAAGACAGCGTGCGTTCGATGATCGTCACTGGAGCAAAAAATCCTTGGAGGAAATGGTGGAAAGAGATTGGCGGATCTTGCGAGAAGATTTTGCCATCTCTACAAAAGGCAAGAGATTCTAGGACAGGCTGTTGAAATCTTGTCGTTTTTGGTCCTGGGCTTGGTTTATCTGTGCTTTTTTTCTTTTTGTCTGTGGATTACTCTGTGTACTGTTAAATACTAACATAGTTGCAGTCTTAATCGTCATTTCCGTCGCAACTGAAGAAAAATAACAACTGAAGTGTTATTGCACAAGGAATGAGCTGATTATCACTAAATACTCTTAGCTGCAAGGAATTTTTTTCAGAAAATGAGAACCAATTTAAGAACCAAAATAGCGTAAATTTGTTCTTATTACCATTTATGTAAGAACTTGTTAAGGCTAACTAGGGAAAATACAGGTTCTTACTCACGGGTCATTACTGTATTTTCTCGCTCCTCATTGCAGGTGGCAAGATTCCATTTCCTCTGCGCTCGTGGAGAGAAAGCACCCTTCCAACTTCAATATTGGATATTGTAGACAAACTGCAATATGAGGTAAGCCAGCCGTATCGTTTCGGTACGAACTCAAGCAGTGAAATTGCACAGAGATGTCGATCACTTCAAGTATTTTTTTTTTTTTAAAGTTTGCAATTGAACAAGAAAAACATTTTGGGTGAATGTTCTTCGTTCTTTAAGTTAAGTACGTGAAACTATTTACACCTCGAAGGAACTGACTTGTATCGAAACGACCGGTAACCCTTTAGTTTAGTCTCCCCCCCCCCCCTTTTAATGTCACAACCAGAATGGCGCTTGTTTAATTTTCACACTCAAGTTAAACTGTTTCTTTACATCAATATTCATAGTTTGTAAGGTCTGGAAGACGGAGGCAATGTTATTATTCCTTGCTCACGTGGTATGAGGGTTAGACTGTCAGAGTATACATTGAAAAAAAATCTCGAAGCATCATCGGCTATGCTTTTCTTAATCTAGTCGCTTATTTAACCACAGCAGGGCTACCTCAGTTGGTAGATCAGCAATGGTCTAGATTAGAAGGTTGCAAAAGAACTGAGACAGAAGGTTCTGCGCCTGGCAAACGGGTAGACCTTCGCGCGGCTTGGATGACCACTTTGAGTACAACTGACTTTTAAATAAAGTCGATTTTTTATCTGTTTATTTACTGAGAGGTTTCACCTACTTTAAATGAAAAAAGTGATGTTATCTGTAGGGCAGAGTTTATGCTCAGAATTATATGATTTTCCCATGTGAAAAAGCTCTTTCAACTCGTACAAATGTTTCATTCGTCCAAACCGAAAGTAACACTTTAGAACAACTGGTAGATTATCTATCCTGTGTGTTCATAGGAACCAACACCAATTCAGCGCCAAGCCATTCCTATTGGACTTCAGAACAGGGACATCATAGGAGTAGCTGAAACAGGTGAAGTGAAAACCCAGTAGGGTTAACTATTGGGAAAATTTTAACTATAGAAATTGTATTGCAATAGGTCACACGGATATTGAGAATAGGCGGATAACAATTTTTTTTTTCAATAAAAAGGTAGTGGTAAAACAGCAGCATTTCTGATTCCTTTATTGGTGTGGATTATGGGGCTGCCAAAGATTGAACGTGACGCAGATGCTGATAAGGGACCTTATGCTGTAATCTTAGCTCCGACCAGGGAACTGGCACAACAGGTTAGTTGGTCAATTCGCCCTCAGGCGAGTTGGCATAAGGGCCTCATGTCAACTCACCGGGGAACTGGCACAACAAGTTAGTTGGTCAATTCGCCCTCAGGCGAGTAGGCATGAGGGCCTCATGCCAACTCGCCCCAACCGTTTACTTTCGCCCAAACAGATGAGGCTCACTTGCAAGAATTCACGCTTCCGTTGCGTTGTGCCTTAAGAGCGGCGGTTATTTTTTTTAGGAAAGAAGCCGAGTTTTTGTGGTCTATCTACATTCATGGGATTAGTACATACGTACATACATACTTTCTTGTTTCCTTCCCAAAGGGGCTTTTCAGGAAAAATCATTATTGCAATCATGACGTTTAATTACAACACTTACATTATTGCTGATTACAGTGCTTAACTTGTTACTAATTACAATACTTAACTTAGCTAAGAAGCATTTACAAAATTATCTAAAAGCTGGTTCCTTAAGACAGTAGTACACCTTCTCGTCGGCAGGAGGGGCTAAATTACCGTAAACTATCAGTTAGACTAACTCACCAGGATTCGTGCCGTAGGTTAAAAGTAAGTACGTTTATTGTTACAAAGGGTTTACCGCGTTAAATCAGAGCCAACGGTGCGTCTGTTTTTCTAATCTTACCAGATTGAAGATGAAGCTGCCAAGTTTGGTCGTCCTCTTGGCGTCAGGACAGTGTCCGTGATTGGTGGGGTAAGAAATCTACGCATAAGTCTGACTATGTCGTTATCAATGGTGTCGTAGCTACCCTGGGTGCAATGTTGGAACAATTCGCAACAATGTTGCAACGCTGTGTTGAGCTAAAATCGTCCCGTGAACATCACCTTAAATCATGTTCGCACATCGAATCCGCCTTCACGAGGTACAACGTGGTTCATCCTACATATTGTTAGAGCGGACATCTGTGGCCAGGACATGTCGTAGCTCGTGCGGTAGGAGTTCCCGTCTCGGTCGCGAGAAGAATGGAACAGGACAAAGGTTTCCAACCGTGCCTTTATTCCTTCTCCAACTTCCCTCCGAGCTTAGAATTGCTTTCCTATAATTCGTAGAGACAGTTGTGGCTCGGTTTCGAAAATGAAGTGATTCCCTGAGAAATACGTGAAACAGAATTTCATGGTTGTTGAGCCCGGAGGTAGTCGCTTATCAGAGAGTCTAAATACAGCGTTTGTGTCAAATGGGATTTTGGAATCGAAAAGAGAGATAAGCAGTCAGCCATAAAATAAATAAATAAAAAGTCAAATAACACCTACCTTTATTCATTATCTCCAGCTTTCTCGCGAGGACCAAGGATTTCAGCTAAGGCTTGGCTGCGAGGTAAGCTAATCTGTTCCCCTTTCGTTCGCTACAACTAGCCTTCGTGGCCAGAGCGAGACGATGAGAGTGAAGAAAAATTCATTCACCACTTGAGAAATGAGAAGGAGACTGGAGCCGAAATGCTTGCCGCAATTGTTTCTGGGATGGTTACTAGGGAAGCGCCGGTCAGCTATTGGCCAATTTTTTTCCATGTCCCTAGTAACAGTCCCAGAAGTCTTTGCAAAAGTTAACTCGGCCCAGATTCCCTCTCCTTTTTAAAGTGGCGAGTTGTAGAGAAGTGTTTGTTGCCTTTTATATTAACATGTATCGCTGAGTACTTACCCCGTTATTTCTTTTTTGCAGATTGTCATTGCTACACCTGGTCGTCTGATTGATGTACTCGGTAAATGTTTTCTTTATATTTCTCATTTCTGCTTCTGCAGTGTTGGCATCCCACAGTATCACGAGATGATTCGAAAACTACAATCATTGGTTTTCTAGCGTTTTTTTTTTTCGAAATAACATTGTAATGTAAAAAAATACGCCATCCTCTTCTTTTTATGTATGAGTCTACTTTTATCCGAACCGTCCTTAGCCAAGTATAGTTGTCTTGTGGCAGTAGGGTAAGTTTTTGTTTGGGTTAAACAGGGTAGGACGTTTTCCTTCATCAACGGCCTCTTTTCCTGGAATCAATGAAGATTTCAATCCAGGACCCCGGTCCTAACTCCATTAGTTCTTTCCCTACTGTTCCTCTCCTTGTATTTCAGGGTTTCTCTATTTTTCGTGCCTTCAGTTCTGGTGCCCATTTGATGGCGGTGCCGGAATTGGAAATGGTATAGAGTTAAACTAAGTTATTCAAAATTCAAGGCGAAAAAGAATCTGACTGTATCTTCTCTGAGACATGGCAAAGTTGCAATTTCGTTGTTCATAAGATTTGAAGTAATTGGTTGAAGCTTTTTGTTCTTCTTTTTTCTACAGAAAATCGATACCTTGTACTCAGTCGCTGTTCGTATATTGTTCTAGATGAGGTTAGTAGTTTTAACTTGTTTTTAATTTTTTTCTCGAAATTTTGAATCAGATAAAGAATAAGCTATTTTACTAAGGAAAATGCGATGGAAAGCCCTACTCTATACTCAATCATTCGTCTTCAGAAAATCTGAGCCATATCTGTGGTACTATTGTAGGCCGATCGTATGATTGACATGGGCTTTGAACCTGATGTTCAGAAGATCTTGGAGCATCTTCCAGTGAGCAACGTCAAACCTGATTCAGAAGATGCCGAGGATCCAGAAAAGCTGTTAGCTTATATGGGAAAGGACAAGTTTAGACAGGTTCGTATAAATAAATAAATAAATAAATTTATTTATTGATTTCTTAATTAAACCGCGGGCTCAGTGTTTCTGTGTTTTTAGACTGGGGCGCTTGTTAGAATTAGGAGGGGCTTAAAGAATTTTCACGGTTCACATGAAGTTGCCTTTAATATAATAGTGAACTTACGCAACAGGACGGGAAAGGAAAGGAGATGGCAAACCTTGTGTGACAAGCGTGACAATTTTGTTTTAAAAACAGACCAGAAAACATTAATGATAAGGGAAGACCACGACAACACTCCCAAGCAATAGCCCTGTCACGTTTGTCACACAACCGTTTTGCCGTCCTCTTCTTCCTGCAGTCCTGCTGCGTAAACTCACTAATAACTGTTTGTAGCCTTCGTGTTTGGTTTGTTTCAACAACGAAAATAGGAGATGTCTCGTCGAGGAGATGAAGTTGTGACTGTAGTCAGTGGACACTACTAGAATGCAGTGTAACCACCAGTTGAACTTTTGAACAATATCACTAAAGACCTGTGAACTGAGATTAGTATCATTGGCTTTTCTGTTTCACCTTTTTTTAGACTGTAATGTTTACGGCGACAATGCCTCCACAAGTAGAACGCTTGGCCAGAAACTATCTAAGGTCAGTTATCGGTTTTACTGTTTACTGAAACTGTGTTTTCTAGATAGATGTGCTTCATTGGCGATCTATCCGCATACAAAGCCGCTCACATTAATTATAAATAACTAAATAATAAATAATTCCGGTATATACCCCCGGTAGATTTCGAGCAGTCTCTCTTTATTCTTGGTCGGTCGAGCAAAACGCGCGTGACTAAAGGCGCGAGACGGGAGAGGCATGAAAAAAGAGAGACTCTCTTTTATCTTCTCGGGCTGCCGCAGTCGTTTCTAGCGTCTCGCTCGAAGCTCGCGCGCGTGCATTTTCCTCCATAAATCTGAAGAAAAAGAGAGACTGCTCGCATTCTAACCCCCCAGCAACGTTTACCGCGCAAGGCTGGTGAGACCGAGCAAACGACTGAAAGAAAGTAGGTCAAAAAGACCATTTCCGTACTCGAAAATCCCTCACTTTAAAAAAGCGAGGCCGTGTGCATGACCCCATTTGTGAAAATGAACTTCATTTGCTTGAGAATTAAAAAATCGTTTTCATATCAGAGACTTTCACACTTAGCTTCGTTTTAAAACAGAGGCTTGGGACAACTTGGAATTTGCCCATACACGTAACGTAACGTAACAAGACTAACTGCATAGAGGCAAATCAGTTGGATATTTACAACCTTGGTTGAGGATTTGAACAAATCCAGCAAGCGATTAGGGCGGGTATTGAACCCATGGTCTTCGGATAGCAAGTCTAACGCCTTAACCGCTCTGCCACGCTGCCGCCTACCCTTGAATCCCCAATATCAGCACCCATATTCCAGTTCTCATCATATTTATCATCACCTGTACGTTTAAGCAGTGATACGTTATGGAGCAATTAGATGCTGATCTACATCATAAAACGAGGAGCATTGACGAATAATTCTTTGCTAAAAGGCAATCTTAAGTGACTGGGAACCTAACATTGTGATGGTTTATTTTTCTTTCAGGCGCCCAGCTGTGGTTTACATCGGTTCTATAGGTAACAAGTCTGTTTTAACCCTCCTTGAACGGGATATACATTGTAACGGGGATCTTTCTGTTCCTTTTTTTTCCCTTTGCTGGATTATGACGGTCACACATCGCTCATTGACGCTGCATATCCAACCAATTTTACACCATACTGAATTATGCCAGGGATGATTTCCTGAAAACTAGCTTACCACGTTATGAGCTAAACTGCAGTTGTCAGGTTCATCTTGCGAGCCTGGTTCCTCAAAAGATATCAGTTTAGTTTAACCCAGGGTAAAACCTAATTTTAAGCAAAGTTTTCTTGTTGGAGGTTTTGAAATATTGTCCAGGTTATTAAAGCGGGCAGCTCTACTGTTTGTATTTCTGTATTAAAGTAATTCAATTTTCTCTCATCACTTCACAGGCAGACCAGTCGAGAGAGTGGAACAGAAAGTTTATTTGGTTAAAGAACAAGCAAAGAGGTACGCCTGCGTGTATCATCTCTTATATATTTATTAAACTGTAGCAATGTAAAAAAATATATTTTCGCGAGATTAATTGCGGTGTACTGTAGTTTTTTACTTCGAGGTCACATTATATCTAACAGTTGAACTGTTTTCCGCCAAAATCTCTTAGCAGGCAACATTGCAAAATATATGACGCCAGAGGGTAACAGTGCACTGTTACCTGCGAATGTTGAGGTTTAATGAATTTCAAGCTATATAGCAAATCACTTCGGGAAACAGTTAATTTTGTTTCCGTTGAATCTCAATGTCGTCCTCGGCTTATTAGGAAATAATATTAGCTGCTTCGCTCGGAACCAGTCATTTTAAAAGTGTTTATTGTTGTTTCCTTGACAGGAAGAAGTTGTTAGAGATACTGAACGCTGGCATTGATCCTCCGATCATGATATTTGTCAATCAAAAGAAGGTGAGAGTTGCGTGTCACCGCAGCTGATAGTTGAGATGACGTGCAAAAACAACCCACGGAAATTGAGCGGAGAGCGAGGGCGGAGCTCTCATGCACTGACTCCCTCCTTGTTTTCGTTTAGTCCGCGTGGAAGGCGTTTGAAGGGGATAAGGTGGACGAGATAGCTACGCGAGGAAGGAGGGAAGCCATCGCGCGAATTTCATGTACTCGCGTGCCTTACTTCCCCTTTTCCCGTCTTCAATGCTGGCTAGTCTTCGTTCGCCCCTTTAGTTTCGTCCGTTGTTTCTACCTGAGATCTTGCGACAGGCTGTCAGGGACCTTTAGGCTATAATCACACTATACCGGACAGAGTTTGCCCCAGCACAAAAACCGTACCGGACAGGACTTCTGTTCGCACATAAGAACGGTGATTTCGGAGCGGTTTCTGTAACAAGCGAAGCTGTGTCACGCCGATCTCTTAAGTGGAAAGTCACATATCGGATAAGTTTTCGTACTGCACCGGATACCTTCTCGCTTCGGCACGAAAAGCTGTCCGTTATAGTATGAATACAGCCTCAGATTCGATTACGAGTAGGAGATTGAGTAGGAGCTTTCAAACCAAGTTCATGAGCTCAAGATAAACACTTTTCACAACAATCTTTTAAGTCTTCTCTACGTTTTGTTAGCAGCAGGAAAGAGAGAGAGCCCTGACAACATAAATGGCTTGAAATTCTAATGTCGCACTCATAGTCGCTGATCACGCACTCCGAGTCAAATCTAAAGGTTGCTTACCGTTGCTTATGAGACGACATATCTGTAATAATGTTTTGCTGATTAACTCTTTTTCCGTCTGTCTTAGGGAGCGGACGTGCTCGCCAAGTCCCTGGAAAAAATGGGCGTAAGTTATCGTTTGTGGCGTTGGGCGTGGGTGATTTTATATCTTTTCTCTTCGATGTAGGCTATGGTTTTGTTGTAATTTGTTTTACCAAACGAACTTTAACCTGCGAGCAAGCTCTCCATTGGGGTTGGATCGCGAGAAGTCACGCGAGAGCAGCACGCTCCTGCGTTCTCTCGCCATACATGGAGAGTTTGCTAGCGAGGTAAACGAACTTGAGTGAAGCAGTGGCTGCTTGAACGCCATTGCGGATCACTAAAGTTGTTTTTATATAAGGGTTTTTTGTGCCAGGTAAAACGAGCAAATTCTGTTTTGGTCGTCAGTTTTGGCTGACAGCGTATAAGGCGGATCGTGAACACTCGGGGCAAACGTTTTTCACTGTCATTCTTAAAGTGCCTGGTTTGCCCACTATTTGATTTCATCCACGGTCGTTTTTATCCTTTTGTTTCTTCAGTTGCATACCTCCCGTTTTTTAATTTTCGTTCCCGAGAGCGGGCACATACATAACTTCCTGAATTTTTTCTTACAGTTCCGTGCTACAACACTCCACGGCGGACGAAACCAAGAACAAAGGTGAGGTTTAGATGTAACCTCTTCTTTTTATTTCGTCGTCATGGTTGTTAAATGTCTGTTTTGTAAATCTAGAGAGACACCGAGAGTATAGGAAACTAAGAAAACAAGGGCCTGAACAAGGGTATTGGACGGATGGAACGATGTTTCAGTGAAATTCCCGACTGTTTTGTACACCAGTGTTGTCGTTTTTTACATGAAGTTATGATCGTCGCAGTGGTAGTTGTAATTTAAGCAATTACAAATATGTATAAGCCCGAAAAAAAAAAATTCGGGACTTCATCGAACCCATGGCCTTTGCGTTAGCGCTGCAGTGCTCTACCATTTGAGCTATGAAGACCCATATATTGGGAGCAGGCCAATTTGTTGAGTTCACCTTCACCGGTGAAAGGAATGAAACATGAAAGACGATGTGAACTGCCGAAGTACAAATTTTATGGAGATATGATCGTCGAAGTGGTAGTTGCAATTTAGACAATAACAAATAAACCCGAAAAAAAAACCGTTTTTAGGTTAAATAGCTCTGTCAACGATAATCTTCGATCGGGCCCTTCTTTTTTTTAGCAAGCACGACGAGCCCGCTGTCGTTTGCTTGATTAAACTTTGCAAACATTTTTGCCATGCATCTCTACACTCAGTTTCATTAGTTTGTCAACTGAGTCGAACATACGCGGTTACGTAACATCTGCATCTTAATTCTGAACCTGTCATAAAGATTCATTTTGTTGGTTTTCTTTCAGAGAGTTTGCATTGTCGAGTCTTAAAGCTGGTGCTAAGGACATCCTTGTGGCCACTGATGTAGCCGGTCGTGGTATTGACATAAAGTAGGTTTCATGATAAACAGTTTGATTTCTTTGTTTTCTTGCTTTTGTTGTCTCCAGGCCTGAAGATGATTTTCTTAAACTCATTTTCAAACCCAACCTGGAGACCGGTTAATCGGAGAGAACCCTGGGAACGGGGTTGATGGTCAAACTTATGAAGTTTTTTTTTTCTTCACTGAATGTGTGTAAAATAGCGCAAGTAAAATCTCTCAAAGTTGATTTCTTCATTTCATTTTTTTTTTTCAGGGATGTTTCACTTGTTCTTAACTATGACATGGCCAAGTCAATCGAAGGTAAGTGATGAGTTTAACATTGAAACCTTAGGCTTAAAGTAAAAGTAATTCGTCGAGACAAACAGAGTTGATAATCTTATCTTAACTCACTTTCATACTAACTGATATACAAACTTCATTAAGTACGGAGTTAATCAGTATGTAATGCGTTTAATTTTACGGTCTCATTTCCTCATCCATGTACACTTTTGGTTTTTATGTATTACATTGTGATAATTATTGGACAATTTTGAACGATTATTTTGATGTTTGAGTCAAATTATATCTATTCGGTGACTGCTGGAATAGACCTTATTCACGATACCCGCCATCCCACGAGCGAAAGGATTTATGGGATAAAGGAAATATCGTGTGGTTTCTAAGGAGGCAAAAAACTTATTAAAAGCTGTCAATAAAAGAAATCGCAGCCGACTTTGTTTATTCCCTCAGATGAGAAACCACGTGACATCCCATTCCATCAACCTTGCGCGCTTCCAAAGGTGGTGGGTATTACGAAGAAGGTCTATTGCCTAAATTTACGGAAGCCACCACATAGCCAGTGCCCTATGGCTGCTAACATGTCATTGTTTTCATTTTTTATCAGGCTACACTCATCGTATTGGTAGAACCGGTCGAGCAGGAAAAACCGGTGTTGCCATCACGTTTTTGACCCAGGAGGACTCAGCAGTGTTTTATGACCTCAAGCAGACATTATTAGCGAGTCCCGTAAGTACAATGCTTTCAATTTTACAGAGCGTCAAAAAACCCATTTTTCCACTCACTGAAAGTTGATTCGACTATAACTAACTGATTTGTGTTCTTGCTAATCTTGTATATTGTTTATGAATTTTATTGTTCATATCTGAGTCTGAATTGGGTTAAAATGTTTATTCTTGTTTGCCCAAAATTTAACATTTATTGTAAAATATTTTTGGTTAAACGGGTTATAGTGTCTTAGGCGAAAATTGAGTGTTACAGGGCCAATGTAGTGCTCTAAATCTTTACCCAGGCGCTAGTTAAGTATCAGACTAATTTTCGTATTTACTATTTATGTATATGCGAATGGATTCTTCGTCGTGCTATGGCGAATAACAAGCAAAAAACACTAACATGAACAGTTGTCAGCGGTTATGACATGGGGGAGGGGTACATTGTCTTTAGTAAATGGCTTATTTCTGTGTCGTTTATAGGTGAGCCACTGTCCTCCGGAGCTTGATAAACATCCTGATGCACAGCACAAACCTGGCACAGTGCTTACAAAGAAGAGAAAGGAAGAAACCATTTTTGTATAAACACCTAAATAAATCCAGTATTCACAAGGCCGGGAGCCGGTTTTTATGGCCGTGAAAATAGTAAAACAATCAAGGGTATAAAGCTATGAAGAAAATAAACAAAATTTTGAAATATTTATTAGTCATATCTTTTAAAGCCTTTTCAGAGCATGAATGAGTAATTAATGCATTATTCTTTATTCTTGACATGCTAGCGTCGGAGCCTCCAACCGCGTTTGACTGGAACAAAGAGTTTGGCTGGGCTGAATTTTAGACGTCTCAGCAGTCATAAGGTTTTATAGAACTTGCCCCTGTTGATTTTTCAAGCCATCTTTTTCTAGCCTTTTCCAGGCTCTTACGGTGATGTTACACGGAACGATTCGTAGCGACGATTTTGAGCGCAACACAGCATTACAACATTGTTGCGACGTTGTTTCGAATAGTTGCAACATTGCAACTCAGTGTTGCGCTAAAAGTTGTCGTTGCGAGTCGTCTCGTGTAACATTACCTTAAGATAGTAGTACCCTGCGTACGTAGCAGGCGCTTGGAAGTAGGGACCTTAAGCAAAAACGTTTTTGAGCGACGCACGTCAACCGGAAGTGAGGCCTTCTCCCTTTTTATATGCCTTGACGCTAACAAACTTGTATTTCTGAGTTTCTTTTCTCTTTTAAAGACGATTTACCCGAGAGTTTCAACCAAACCGCTCCCCAATGATGCAAAAAGTCCACTTCCGGTTGACGTCCGTCGCTCAAAAACGCTGTTGCTTAAGCTCCCTAGTAATTGGGCGCAAGAAAGAACGGGGCGCGCGAGGGAGACACGCGAGGGGAGAGGGTGTCTCCCTCGAGCGACCAGTTCTTTCCAGCTCCCAATTACTTCCAAGCGCCTGCTACGCAGGCTTAGATAGAAGGGTTGACGCGTAAGTGAAAAACACGCGAAAATATCAGCGCGTGACCTGGGAAAAGAGAGCAGTGGCGGGAAAAAAGAAGCTCTTCCTCTCGTTTTATTTTCGTGTTTGCGCCTTTTCTATTTCGCGGAACCGACTATCTGGGAGCCAGGAACAGGCCATCTTTTTCCATCTCTGTGGCCCCAGGGTGATGATGGTAACTTTAGTACTTGCACTGAAAATTTTTGACTTCTCAAACAGACTTTGATAAAACATCAAACACTCTTTTAGTGCATCAAAACTGCAATAGTATTCTGACTTCCGTGGAAACACTGGTTAAGAATGGACTTCGTTATTTTGTGAACATATATACACCATAAGAAAAGAGAACTTTTTCATCAAACATACTCTGAAATTCAAATGAACATACACCGAGAAAAGAATGCATCTTGAAATCTAGGGCTATTTTGAGCAATACGCAACAACTTCCGGTCAAAAACACTTGCTTTAAGTCAAAATCATTCGCAATATAATTTAAGTTAGTTTAAGTACAATTGACGCCGAACACTGGAGTAGCTTTTATATATAGCATTACTCCTTTATATCTATTTTGCTGAGATGACGTACGCACAATTTTCAGTTTCAGTGTCGTTCAGTTTTCAGTTTCAAATATAGCTTGAATCCAGACATGGAATTAAACGTTTCGTTGTAAGAAATATGCTCCATAGCCAATAGCAATACAGTTTTCCTGCGGGAAGCGGTTTCGCGATTGCTTTCTAAAATTCTTTTTTCGTCTTAGTGAAAAGAACTCGCACCACAATCGCCAGAACCTTGTCACAACATTACTTCTTAAAACTTAGAACTAACAACAGCATGTGCAGGGCATTTTATGTCGAAGCTGGCGACACGTCATGAGTTTTTAAATCAGCTTTAAAACTTATGACTAACAAAACGTTTGCATATCATACAGCAATGATTGTGGTTAAAACTTTCAGTGTTTACTAATAGAAAGTACGTGCGAACCGTTTTCAACGTCTGGCGGGTGGAGCAAACAATGGCTCTGAAGTGGTGGCTTTTGTGGTCTGTGATTCAGTGTTCGGTAGAGTTGAAGGGTACATTGTAGCGTCGCTCTTTTTAGCCACACCTCGCTGACTCCCAGCAGTGCACTCACACCTGGAAACTAAGCAAACAAGATCAAGTCAGAATCAATCAGCAAGAGCGAAACTGCTAACCGACTGCCTGTAGCTACTATTGCTAATAGTGGTCTAGCAATCCGAAAATGAGTGATTTTTTTGTTGATTTTTATTGGGTGATTTTTGTTGGATACTACCATCATCGTCATCATCATCATCCTCATCATTATCATCATCATCATCATCATCATCATCATCATCATTATCATCATCAACATCATCATTATCATCATCATCATCATCATCATCATCATCATTATCATTATCATCATCAACAACATCATTATCATCATCATCATCATCATCATCATTATCATCATCATCATCATCATCATTATCATCATCATCATCATCATCATCATTATCATCATCAACATCATCATTATCATCATCATCATCATCATCATCATCATCATCATCCTCATCATTATCATCATCATGCCCACTGTCATAGGCATCATCATCATTTTACTTAACAAAGCTAGGTATGCTTCTTCCGCAAATATTATTACTTTTTTCTTTATTTCAGTTGATTTTTGTTTTCCTTTGTTTTAAATTCGCCTGCATTACCATACCCCAAAACAAAGGAAAACAAAAATTAAATAGACTGCAAAATAGACAATTTTTTCCTCAAAATCAGTAATAAAAAATCGCTAAAGCGTGGCGCGCGCGAGTCTCACACGCTCGCATTTTTAGCGTCTCTCCCCAACCTCGTCCTCTGTTTTCAGCCTCGTTCCAGATCTTTAGTTTGACTGCTCGCGCGTACTTGAATACGTAAAACTACGGACTGTTTTGCAGTCTAAAAATTAAACTAAGCTACAAAAATTAACTGCGAAGACTCGTTCGATAACATCATCTTTTTACAAAATAACAAAAAAAACGCGTCCACCTTACGCTTCATACTCCCTCGCATGAAAAAACATGCCCTGCATCCCACGACCCCCCGAAACCGGTTTGTACCAGTTTGTCTAACCACCCTACTGGGAGGTCCCCATTTTCAATGATTCTCGTTCTAGCATTCATGGTAGGCCGCCATTTTGAATAATTTGGTTCAAGCATCCTCTAAATACTACTCAGCGGTATCCAACCAGCATAACTAACCAGACGGCTCGTCCAAAAAATGTTGCCTTGGTACTTTAACTGTTATTTGCCTATCTTTAAATAGTAACAGAAACTCATGCTTTGTTTTGCTTACTTTTTTCTTCCAACTCCATGACTATGGCAGACAGCATTTTCATCTGATCTTTAAGAGCGGTTAAATCTTCAGGCTGAAAATACAAAAAGACCTTTTTGTTACCACGCTTCATGTCTACCAAAAATACTTTTGTAGGCTCTCTCTGAATAGCAAATTGAATTGACGTTTAAATGTCGCTATTTCAGAAAGAAAAAGTGCAATGCAGAACTATTACAATTATCTTTTCAAAAGGCGTCCGAGCGAAAAAGAGGAGTTTTGGGCAGGCATTACTTCCGCCATAATAGCCTAAACTTGTTAAAATTTTACTAACAACGCTGCGCCAGAAAAAAATCATTTGGTCGATTTTCAGCAAGATTTGTAAATGTAGAGGGCCCATTTTTCACCTGGGCCGGAAAGCGTTTTAGCTTTCCAAAATCTTGAATTCAGGATTTTGGAGGATTAACTCTAACTCCACGAAATAACGTTATAAAATTAACCCTGAGAATATCCGTCCCCGATAGTTTTGCTGGATGACCAAGTAAATTTACGCGTAGGCCTTTCAGTAATTTAAAACTAAGATCGTCTTTTAAAACTCACCGAGGCTCCGATAGCTGGGCGGCCACGTTCTCCCGCTGGACCCGGAAGTCCAGGAGGTCCTCGTGGTCCCTGTATTGATTGTCCCAGTTCCCCCTTTAATCCTGGGGGTCCCATGGGTCCTGGGGATCCAGGTGGTCCCGGGTCTCCGGTCACTGCTGTTGTGGTACCCGGCTCGCCGGGATCTCCTTTCTCGCCTTTCTGGACTCTTAAACCACGTGATTGCCCTGAAAGTAACAAAAACAAAAACAATCAATTTATATTCGCTTCTACGCTTTAAGTGAAGACTGGGAATGTTAATGTGTTTTTAAGTTCCATTGATATCCTACCCACCTTGGACTCCGTTTAAACCTGGAGGCCCTGGATCTCCGGTTTCCCCTCGTCTGCCGGGGGGCCCGGGGGGCCCGGGGGGTCCGGGTGGCCCGCGAGGTCCTGGTGGACCTCTTGAGATTTCGCTGTCCTGAACTATCGCCTCGGCACGAGTTTTTTGACTTTTCTTTTAAAAATAAACAGAAAATGGGTTTCTTTAACCTTCGACCATGAAAAAGAGTCTGTAAGTTATGTAAATTGCAAGGTGTCCATTGCATGCATGCTAGAGGTAGGTTTGGTGTAAAATTTGAAACGGCGAAACAAACACCACGAATCAAAGAGTTCGGTTACTGGTTCTCTACAAATCTGAATCAACCAATAAATAAACAAGTGAAAATCAAAGCAAAAGGCAGTTTCTAACGGAACATCCCAAAAAATGAAACTACATTTGTATTTTCAGCTGAGCTCAAAGACAGTGACAGACTCTTTTAAAAAGAGAAGAGCTACTTCAGTTAGTCGGCATCTTTGTACATGCTGAGCTTCAGTCTAAACGCGGATTACCTGCCAGTTACCTGGCTCGTCTGTTACGCGGCGAGCAAGCTCTCCGAGAAGTCACGCGCGAGTGACATACGTAATGACGCGCGACAGCGACGCCGGGGCACTTTATCATTTTGTTAGTTTTATTCATATTTTCCCTTGAAATTCCGTCTTCGTACATTACTAACCTGTTCCAAGGCTTTTAACCTGGCTTCCAGCAGAAGAAACTTGGTGCAATTAAAACAGGCTGTTGAAACAGAAGCACTCCAGTTGATGGCTTGATGTGAATGAAAGTCATGATGAAAATCTTAGTTGGAACTGACTTTGATAGAATAGCACTCACCTTGACTGCAATCTTTTCCTGTGAAGCCGGGACAACAGTCTTTGACCGACGTAATCACTGTTCTCACCTCTATTTTATACTGTGGACGATAGGTTACCCTGAAAATACAGTCGAACCTCTTATAAGTGACGCTACAAATGCGAAGGTTTAACGGTAGCTCACGAGAGGTGGTAGATTTTGAGAATATCTAACCACGGGGCTCTTTTCCAAATACAGCCTGCGTAGCTGGTGGGATTGTTATGCGCGGGGTATTCTCTTTATCCGCGGGGTACTTTCTTGGCGGCGGAGCCGCGAGGGATTTTCGGTGACTTGCCGCTTTTTCCGCCAGCTATGTAGGCAATTCCGAGTAGAGGTACCGACATAGTTACCTTTGCAAGAAAATTTATTGCATGCAATTTACGAAATACACAGTTCCATGTTGTCACTAGCAGTTCTTTCTATATTATGAGTATTGTACTACATACAGCAGAATCTAAGATTTCAGACCATGCTTCAAGTATTCACTTGCAACTGAGGTTTAAAAACGATGGAAAATTATAAAACTTCGATGCTCCAGAAAGCCGTTACGGTTGCTTACGAGAGGTGATTGTTTACGGGAGGTTTCAGAAGTAGGGCTTTGAGTGGGAAAATTTTTGTAGTGCTTTGGGAAATTGGTCGAACATAGAGGTTCAAAGATGGACTCAAAACCACTCACCACCAACGAAAACAAACGCAAATAATGCAACGAAGGCATCAAAAGCTGTGGGAAGACAAAAAATTACAAGCGAGGGAGAACTTGCAAATTTAAGCGTGAGAAACTGCGCAACCTGTATCGTCAAGGGCGGGAAATAATGCAACCAGACGTTAATATTGTGGGCACCGTGCAAAGAGACTTCAGCAGGGAACAGCGACACGCTCTCTAACTTTGCTCCACACTCCACCATCCGAACGCCTGGCGGAACAGGTTGCATTCGGTGCGGTCACTTGGGCCGAAGTTACACAACGCTTCCCATCCTCACGCGATGCGTGACTTCGGCCCGGATAAGCAGCTGGAGGCGGGAAAATCAAGGGCCATAAAATGCAACCAAGTGTCAACGCAGGGAAAATGATATAACCAGTGTCACATGTCATGAAACGTGCAACCAAGTCTTAGGCGCAGGAAACAGTTGGGAAAACAAACAAATAACCATTCACTTCTTTTTCGAAAAAAGTTAGCATGTAGAACTTGAATTTAAGTAATAAATTATTTGCGCGCATGTGTTTCGCGTTTGTTCATGGTTTAACTAAGTTATAACTGTAACACACCTGTGACCAGTACAAACTTTTTGCTGAGATTGTGTTCCACAATAGTACTTGAACTGGTGAGTCACTCTTTTCATGTGCGCTACATTACAAGTCACTTGCTTGGGCTTTTGGTAAATACAGTACTGTCCGCCAGAAACCGAGGTGCCCTGGGATGGTGCCTGGGTACTATGCTCTTGGCTTTGTATTTGAGGACTTGGTGCCTTGACACCGGTACGTCTGTACAGCGGTAGCTTGTTCGAAGGATCGAGTACCAGCCTTTTTGATTGGAAACCGTGTTGGCTGCAACCGATTTCAGAAATGGCTATTATATCACTTTATCACTTTTACTTCATTCAACAACATTAAAAATTGTTTTTAGGGGAGTCGCATTCCCCTTCTCCTCTCTGATCATGATAGGGAGGAGGCGGTGAAATTCGAATACCCTAAAAACGAGTCGGTTGCACTCTCTCCTCCCCAGAGAGTCTACCTGGGTTTTAGTGAGCGCGCTGTGGACGACGGGAAGGAGAGTTCCCCTTCCCGTCGTCAACTCCCCTTCCCGTCGTCCCCTGCGCGCTTATTTTTTTCCGTCTACGCCGTGACAAAGAAGCTTCTGAAGAGGGTGAGAAATCGTGCTAGAGTCGTTTGTCACAAAGGCATGGAAGAATCATAATGATTTATGTTTTCTTGTGTAAAATGCTATAACAAACAGGGTGTATTAACGTCTACCTTTAAGGCCAAAATTTATTTCCAGGTGAGTCAGTCATATGTATAGGATCTACATGAAAATCTTTTCTGCGTAAAAGTAGTCGTAGATATCAAAAGTGACAGAAACAAGATCTCTTTTCTTTCCTGACATCAGTGGTCTTATCTATATTATCCTGTGTCGCTCATTCCGCTTCCAAGGAGGTCATAATATCATAATTTATCTTTCTTCAAGAGATAACAACAAGTAATAACCCTCCTTTTAGTTTCGTGGCTATGACAGATTAGATCGGTGGTTAACAAGAGTCTGACAGTGCAGATAGCCATGTGACTTTTCGATTTTCTTTAAAAAAAAAAAACGGGGCCGACCAGTTGGGGTTGGTTCATTTGAAACGCTCCAGAGTTGCGGTCTTTGTACTGTTCGCGTAATTCTTAGTTTCTACGAGCAGAAAGCAGTTGTACAGATAAGCAGCTAACTTATTCCACAAGAGCCTTGTGTTGGCTAATTCGTAGCGCTTTGACAAGCCTCTAAAATTTCACTTTTTGCGTTTTATGATCGAGTGCAGTTTTGAGTTGAGTGAGGAAGAGCTCAGTGTGACAACTTTGATTGAGGACAGTCTTCAATAGGTTTTTTGGGATCCGGGACTTGCCTCATTTGAAGGCAGGGATTGGGGATTTAAAAGCCAAAGGGAATGATATTTAAACGGGGAACACCCGGGAGCAGGGAACGGAAAAAAAAATTGAGTCGAGATTCGGGATTAAAAGTATGCATGAGATGCTGGATGCTGTCGAATAACCATCGGGATGATAGGATTGTAGAACCCCATCGGGACCATCAGCGAATTTAGAGGATGGCCGAGGGGGCCACGCCCCTCCACCCTCCCCCCTTTTAATTTTTTCCTGTTAATTTTGGTATTATTTTTACAATTACGGCAGCAAAATAAGAAGAATCCGTTTAGCTGGCAAGTTTCCCGGCCACCGCTATCTGAATTTTCTGGATCTGACCCTGCGGACTCTCATAAAGATGATGTTTTCGCGTCAAATACAAACTTTCCCAGAACAAAGACTCTTGACCATTTCGTCTGATTTTAGAGCCAAAACAAAACAAAACGAAATTTCCGGCAAAAACAATAATAGTCACAAAAAGTCAAATTCCTAGTGTCATCTCTCTTTAGCGATTTTTTATGAATTATCCCGTTTTTTTTTTTCGTCCGGAAACTTGACTCTGCTGGCTCATATCAGTATTCCATACAGTTCTCTTCAATTACGCCACATGGCGTGATACAGGAGTGATAGGTTAAATTATTCTTTTCTTATTTCCCCGAGTCAAAAGGATATCAAGTATTAAACAATTCATTTTTCTCCTCTTTCGTCACGAAAATAATGAAACTTTACTGTTGCATGTCAAAGGTTGGAAGTTAGGTACGCTAAAAAAGACAAACCAGAATCTGTAATGTTTCCAGAAACTGAAACTCTGATGATTTAGGGCACCGGGTTTGTTCTGTCATAACCAGCGATAATCACACACTTTTGTACTCATCAGTTCCATTCATGAAAAAGCATAAGTCAGTTTTTTCAAGGCGCTACATGTCTTTCAATGCCACCCTAGAGGTGACAGAATGTTGCAGGACATATGACAGGCCTTGTGCATATGATGCTGACCACACTACGTTTGATATTCCGTGAATTCAAGGTTTGCGTGAACTGAAGTTGCCTCGCACCTTCTTTGTTTTTATGGAAAATAGACTCTGGCAGGTGTTATTAAAAACACTTTATTTTGGTGCGAATTTTCGCGCCTTGGTGTCAGTATGAAAGCAATTATTGGGACTCTGTAAAGTGCGGATCCGGACGGCGGATCCGGACGGCGGATGCGGACGGCGGACGGCGGACGGCGGACGGCGGACGGCGGACAATAATAATTTTAAAAAATAAAGAAAGATTGTTCTTTATTCTGGGAAAAGGAAACTCGCGAGTTAACTTATACAAAACAGCAAGACGTAACAATTTTAATCCTCTTTTCAATGCGTCTGAGTTTACGATGAGCTGAAAAACATGCTTTACTTAGTTGAATATTAAGCCAGGTAAAATTTACATCTCAGAACTTTCAAGGGGACGCTATAAGTTTAGGAAGAACGGTCATTTTTATATCACACCAAGAATAAACCGCACTCTGTAATAAGCTTACCTTTGGGCGTACGGATTGTTGTAGCCGTAGAGGGGAAGATGTCTGCTTGAGTGTGACCTTGAAACTCCACGAAAACCAGCAGCAGAAGCTAAAACTGCCGTGATAAAAATTGTGCTCTCCGCAATTTTCATGCTGTAAACTTTCCCGCGTCAAGTCAGAGGTCAGAAAAATTCTAGACTACAATATTCCAGAAAGTAAGATCTGCTACGATTTCACAACCATCCCTTAGTCTTCGGGAAATTTGCTATTACCGTATGTCAAGTTGCTGAGTCGCCGCTGAGTGCCGTTTTCTGTCCAAGAGCCTGAGACGTTATTCTCGATTGATAACAGTCGAAAGTGATGACAAAATATTAGAACACAGTTTTGATCAGCTAGATAACAAAAGGGCGGCAAGCGACCATAGCTGAAGCGAGCGATTTGATATCCGAAGTAATGAACTGGGATTTCCGGTCGTAGGTGAGAACTAATAAACTCAGGCTTGGAAGGTGTCCAGTTCAAGTGTGCACGGAAATCATACTAGACATTTTGATTATCTAGGATGCTGAATTGTCTTTTTATATTTTCCGGTTTATATATATCGGCATATTTTCAACCTCATAGCTGTAGGGGGAGAAGCAGCCTGCCAGGAGGCTCGACGCGCGAGCCGGTGTGCGAAGCATGCCAGAGTGAGTCTGGCTAGCCTAATCGGTAACTACCAGCTGTCCACAAACAACCTCCCTAACCCCATCCCCTAGTGTTTTGTATTGACACCTCAGCCAGTTCGTGCATTCTTCATTCATGACCCATTTTTTACCTGAATATATAACATATCCGATTCTTTCGGCTGAAGCAAACGACGAGGAGCATTCCCTTTTACATACAAATCAGAGATAACCCCTTCCAGATTGACATTTCAACAGTAACTTGACCTGTAACTCTGTATTTAGCTATCGGGTGTAGTCGCTCTAGTCAAGTCAAGTACCTGAAAGATTATACCCTTCCGCTATGAATGATGTGCCCACATCCGTTTAATGTTAATTCTTGTTGCCAAACTGACATTATAATGTACACCATCGCGCTGAATAATGCAAATACTGAATGGATATGGACGTGACACAAGAAGTGCAAAAGAAGGATTCTGACTATCTCTCGCGCATTGAAATAATCAGTTTTGTAAGATACAGTACCAAGGCATTATAAAACTGTTTGATAACAATTAAAATTGTTATCAGCTAAACCATACAGCTTTTCACCTCATTGACGTTCTGCAAATCGTAACAACGTGTTTGAAGACCCCTTTGAAAATGATACAAAGAAAGCATGTGACATGTTATTAGTTTTTTTGTTAAGTTCTAAACAATGCAACATATTTTTTTTAACCGTCACATCTTTTCATGGTGTTTCTGATGGCCTCATCTGTTAAACATGTTTTTTTTTCCAATTACTTCTCCAATGACAACCTTTCGGAGTGAAAAATCTATATCCAAATCTACAGTAATTTCTTTCAACCCTCCTACTGCATGAAACTAACTCTTTCACTAAAGAAAACGGCGTGAGTCGAGATGAACTCATATTTTTCCCGACAGATTAACGTCAAAAATTTTAATTCTCTTTCACGGACAGGCATTTCAATTCTCATAAACACACGCAGCCAAATATTCCAGCGACGTCTTTTTTTCTTATCTTTGGGTGTTACTAAAACGAAGACCCAAAAACGAAGACCTAAGACCTAAGACCCCTTGGACTAAAACGAAGACCCTATGGACTAAAACGAAGACCCCCATGGACTAAAACGAAGACCCCATGGACTAAAGCGAAGACCCCCATGGACTAAAACGAAGACCCCATGGACTAAAACAAAGACCCCATGGACTAAAACGACTGCTGCTAACCGCTGAGGGCAATGCCCGCTCCCGTAATTTGTTACGGCGATTTGGGAATGTTGTGGAATTTCCTCTGCAGTATTTTGTTGTGATAGTCAAGTCTATCACTTACCTTTTCTTCAGGTTTCTTTGCGGAAAATATTTTGCATGTTTTAAACCTCTCTGGAAGTGTTTACGGTGAAGATGATGTCAGTTTTATTTAAATGAAAGCTTTTTGCAGGGTGAAGGCGAGGGAGCCCTCTAGTGTGTCGTGTGGTTATAACGCGCGTGTGGTTATAATGCGATTGGCGTGACAATGGGAGGCCTAGACAATCAAAGGCTTATGACAGGATTTGTCTTGTAGACTTCCGCCAAACGTGTTTTGGGCGCGTAGTTGGGGTTTGAGGGAGGAGGGGGTCCATTGCCTTTCTGATATTTTACGGTTCAAAACTCAATGTCGGATGATTTGGGTGTCATCCCGGGTGTAATGAGTTAAGAAAATATAGCCGCGTGCTCCAGCTTTCTAAAATGTCGAAGAATTGTATCAATGCATTTAAAAAACAAAACAGTGACAACACATAGTACAGGGAGGGAATTTCTCATTGACGAATTCAAGGACAGAGGAACCTCGCGCTCTATTTATTACTTTTTACCTCATCAATAGGGGAAAAAAAGCCTTCGATCTAGAACATTACTCGAGTACAAGTTAACATTTCGAGTTTCATTTAGGCGAGGTTCATTTGTCTTTATGCCGGGTTTTATTTGTTTTATTTATATCCCTGTCATACGCTGTTACGATATTCTGCCCTCTATTGTTAAAAAATGACTAATCTTTACGGCTTAAACAGTTGTTTTTATGATAACTGTGATAAAAAAAATAATAGAAAAAGACGGAAAAAGACAAGGGAAAAAAAAAGCTTTCATTTAAATAAAACTGACGTCATCTTCACCGTAAACACTTCCAAAGAGGTTTAAAACATGCAAAATATTTTCCGCAAAGAAACCTGAAGGAAAGGTAAGTGATAGACTTGACTATCACAACTAAATACTGCAGAGGAAATTCCACAACATTCCCAAATCGCCGTAACAAATTACGGGAGCGGGCATTGCCCTTAGCGGTTAGCATCAGTCGTTTTAGCCATGAGGTCTTCGTTTTAGTCCATGGGGTCTTCGTTTTAGTCCAAGGGGTCTTCGTTTTAGTCCATGGGGTCTTCGTTTTAGTCCATGGGGTCTTCGTTTTAGTCCATAGGGTCTTCGTTTTAGTCCATGGGGTCTTCGTTTTAGTCCATGGGGTCTTCGTTTTAGTCCATGGGGTCTTCGTTTTAGTCCAAGGGGTCTTAGGTCTTAGCTCTTCGTTTTTGGGTCTTCGTTTTAGTAACACCCCTTATCTTTCTAGTCCAAAACTGGGCGGATCGGAGTTATTTAAAGAGATAAAATGTTCATGATATTTCTAAATAGACCAGCCCATGCCTAACTGTCACCTGTTTGTCAATAGGCATTACTAAACTTTTAATTTAATTAGAAAAAACGAAGGATCATTCTCAGTCAAAGTTATAATTAAGAAAAAGAAGTTCAACTTGAAATATATTCAGTCCGTACTTTTAATTAACTAGTTTTATTTTCGAGACGTATCCAAGTCACGGCGCCATGGAAAAAGTGTAAACCACGCTACAAATTAAAATGGTAGACATTTCAAACTAGAAAAGGTGAAATCAGCTCCGGGAGGACCATTGTCTGTTCTTGGCATACTCCGGTAAACTGATCAAAAGCAAGACCCATAATTTGACAACGCCCAAGGCCAGTGGAGGGTTTCTCTAAATATCATCGGTGGTTTTAAGACTGTTTTGACAAAGATTTGCTATTTGTTACGTCTTCTATTTAAATTTTATGTTAATGGACAAAAAGCATGTCCACTGGCGCGCTTAAAACTGCGGAGCTTCTTTAGGCGGGACCCCGGTGGAGCTTTGCTCTCTCCTCCGCAGAGGCCTCTTTGTATTGGAGGGAGGCTGGGGAGAAAGAAGCTTGCGCTTCCTATTTTCCGATTATTGCTATTTTTACTGTGATACCCAGCGGGAGCCTCTGCGGAGGAGAGAGAGAGCTTTGAGAAACACGAGCCAGATGTATTGGTAAGAAAAAAGGTCATTAGTCGTGACTAGTTTTCACAAAAGATTTTTCTCTCTTGGTTTCCAAAAATGAAATTAGTGTGCGAGTGAACTGTCTATACAAGGAATTTATTACCAAATGACAATCTTGCCGATTTCGTCTTCGATAAACTCGGTACAGAATCAAAATTAGGGACACCCGAGTTTAATGATTCTCGAGCCATTAAATGGAATCCCTTTAATATCTGAAGCATCAAAATCAAAGCTTTACGCATTCAGTCTTGGATCGGATCGAATACGCTTAATTACATTACGGCATATGATCGATTTCAACCAGAAGCTACTTAAAACAAGTTGCAATGACAGCATGCAAGGAAACTTTTAGTGAGATAATGATACAAAACACGTCTTTAGACTTCAGTTTGAGAAAGTTGGTGCAAGGACGGGTAGAAACTAAAAGTTCGAGACATGTGCAAGGATCATTCGGTGCGTTTTGGGAAACTACCCTCCTACCCCCTCCCCTAAGCCAACATTAACACTTACTCCTCACTTAAAGCGAAACGTTGGCTTAGGGAAGGGGTAGATGGGCAGTTTCCCAGACACGTAACATGTAGATCGGATCATGCAAAAGATCCCTTGTGAAGTAAATTATAAAATACTCACTTAAAGATTGTCATCCACTTGGCTGCCTGTGGCGAGCCCAGTTTATAAAATAACGTTCCATTTACTTCTCGGTTTTTTTTTCTGGGCCGAAGTCGTAGTGGGGCTGTGCCGTTCGGCTCTCCTAATCTTGACACTATTCTCACTGTGCGCCGTAACGCACAAGGGCTCCCTGTGCCCGTGCATTTAAATTCCGGCGCATCTGTGGATCCGCGGGGAACTTGTTGTGCATATATTTGTGAATTTAGTACAAATTGACCTGTTTTTCATGCGTTTTATTCCTCTTTTCGTGAAAACGGACACCAGACACCTAGTTTGTCGCTCTGACCCACCTCCTCGCAGCTATGGCACACTCTGGCGCCTTACCTTCCCCTCCTTCCCGCTCCGGGCTCGCCCCTTCCTATAACTCATCCCAACCTTGGGGCGTTTGTGAGTGGGGGCTCCCAGTGAGAATTTATTACTATGGATTGGATTATATTTTTAAGCCTGTCCAATCAAATTTTGGAAGTCTGGTTATGATTGGCCAGA